TGTTCCCCCCGCGCCAGGGCAGGGCCCTGCGGGGTGTGCGGGGGGGAATGTGCGGGGGGGAATGTGCGGGGGCGGCCGTGCGGGGGCGGCCGTGCGGGGGCGGGCGCAGGTGTCGGCGGTCAGCGGCACGGCCCCGACTGACCCACTTTACGGTCAGGTCTGCTCTTTTTCGGGGCAAACCCGCGCTTTTACAGGACTCCGGGCCTGAGCTGGTGGGATATTCACTGCGCAGCCGGCACGGGGGGGCGGGTGTTCGCGTCCCGGTGGTTTCGAGCTCCCCAGGTGCCCTCACAGCCAAGAACTTCTTCCCCACATCCCATCTCCATCTCCCCTGTTCCAGGGTCAAACCCTTCCCCCTCCTCCTGTGGCTCTCCTCCCTGATCCAGAGTCCCTCCCCATCTCTCCTGGAGCCCCCCTTATTTAGGGACTGGACGGGGCTCCAAGGTCTCCCCGGAGCCTTCTCTTCCCGGGAGCGGGGCCGGTGTGTGGGCACCAGTGGGGAAACTGGGAGTGGGGGCAGCGAAAGGAAAGACGAAGGCCCCCCAGGCTGGTCGGTGTGTGGCCGTGCTCTCAGACCCTGGCAGTAGCACATTTAAAAGCTGCACGGTGTCCCACGTCACCAACCCGGAGATATTTTTGACTGAAAGGACTCCAGCCCACTGCAGCGCGTGGCAGCACTGGAGGGAAGAGAAACGGGGGGAGGAGATTACATATTTGTACTTTAAAATTAAACAGTAATTTCAGAGTCCAGCCTATGGTTATATATATTGAGTTGGGACACACGTGTTTTTTCAAAGAAAAGGCCATTCTGCTGTTTTCCCGAGGCTGTGCCCTGTGAAGCCAGCTCCTCGGACGTGGCAGACGGTGCAGGTTTCGGCAGGGCTGGGGTCTGTGGGTGCCGAGGGACACCCTGCACCAGGGGGCAACGGGCTGGGTGACCAACGGGCTGCTGGAAGGGGAAACCAGCCCTGGAGCTGGGTAACACCGGGGTCAAGATTAACCTCAAATCAAATGCTGCCTTCGGTTTAGAAATAAAAAATTAAGAGAAACCACAAAATGTGTGTTTGTTCACCTCAGTTCCTCATATTTTTTTTTTTTCCCCTTTTCTGTTCCCCACCATCTCACCCCGCAGTGCTCAGACCCCGCTCCTGTGCGATGTCCTGGTGTGACCGCTGTGTTTGGGGACTCGGCCACCGTGTCCCGGGGCTGTGTGTTGGGTCTGTGGGACCCCCCGGCAGCCACAGCTGTGGGCAGAGGGACCCCAGATGTTCCTCCAAGCTTTGGCTTCACACTCCTGAGCGATGACAAAGTGGTGGCTGTTTGGGTATGGCCAGGCACTCCCTGGGTGACTTTGGCTCTCCTCCTTGGCAAGGGTAGCTGTTCCAGAGAGGCTGAACAGATGCCGTGACACAAGACAGCTGCTTTTGTAGGGGGGAATTAATGTAATCAAGGCTACTCCATCGTTAAAATAATCTGAAGTGTCAGATGGAGATGTGCAGAAGCAAGCTAGCTTGAAGATGGAAACTCACAATTTTTTTTTCCAGGCCAAAGTGTCCCAGAAGATGAGGTAACGTTAGAATAAGTCACGTAGAGCATTTTAGTAACGTAAAAAAAATACTGCCCATAGGGAAGCAGGGATGGAATGATCTCTTGCTAAAGCCTGGCTGGCTCCACAAGTTGTATTTCTTCTCTGCAGTGTGAGAGACTGTGCAGGGTCGGAGACAGCGCAGTGGTCCACAAAGGGCAAGGTGGGACACATGGCTGATCCTACCATACAGATCGCCAGGGCCCTTTGGGCTGAAAACAGCAGAAAATAGTGCAAGCAGGTAGTGCAAAAAGCTGGTTCAAATGTCGTCAAGAGGGGCTCCAGCCCTCCCAGCATCTCCGTGGCCTCCTCTGGCCCCACTCCAACAGCTCCGTGTCCTTCTGATGTTGGTGGCCCCAGAGCTGGAGGCAGCACTGGGGGGGTGTCTCCCCAGAGCGGAGCACAGGGACCTACTTAATGCAAATAATTCCAAATAAAACCTTAATTCTACATATCAGGTATTTATTACTGCTGGGAAGGGTTTTTTCTGCCCATGTGGTGCTCGGGCTGGGAGGGTATTTACATGCAGCACGGCAGAAGGTCTCAGCTGTGGCAGCCTTTGGCCATCCCGAGCCCCTCGGGTGCCGATGGGCAGCACCTCAACCTCTCCAGGTTTCCAGCTGAGCCCTGGCAAGGGCTAGCCCTGCCCTGATGGGCTGGGGGGATCATTTGGGTGTCAGCAAATGCCACCACAAGACCACAGATATGCTGGGAAATCACAGAGAAGCCTCAAAACCCGAATTAAGTCTGGGTTCTCAGGTAACTCTCAGAGGAGTTTCACCTTCACCGTGCTTTTTGGGGACAGTCCAGTCCATATGTTACTAATGGGAACTTCCATGGTGGGGTACCTTATTTCTCTTACTGTGGAAATTGTCAGCAAAAACTTAGGAAATGCTGAACCTGGAGCCCCCTGGCAGTTCATCTGGAATGCTGGGGTGTCTGCTGATCTCCTGGAAGCCTCTACCTGCAGCAATGACACCGTGGGACGAGAATGGAAACTTTGGCTTTGAAAGAAAAGTTTGTGGTCGTGTTCCATAAAACAGGAAAACCGCGAAGCCGAAGATGTAGAAAACCGGGAAACACCAGGCATTTGTGTGTTGGGCCCTTAAAGAGCTGAAGATTGAGAAACAAAAGTTTACTTTTCTATTTTGACCGTTTTCCGGATTTTTAGGCTGACCTCAAAGCTCTATTTTTAGGCGGCTGTTTGTACAAAGCATGATGGAGAGCAGCTTTTTCCCCCCAAACTGGAGCTGGTTACGTAAGGAAAGGATTAGAACAGCCGTTCATGTTTCTTTATTTATTTTGGGTTCTAACTAGCCACCCGGATGGGCTGTGGCTCCGGTGGACGAGGTGGCCGTACCCCGTGAGGTGACACAGGAGGGGCTGGGGACGCCGGAGCGATGTCCCCGGGGCTGGGAATGGAAGCAGCAGCAGCCGGGCTGGGTGATTTGCATAGAGGTCATGTTTTCCTAATGCGTGTCTTGTCGAAGCAGACAGCATGTAAAAGAGGACGGTTAAAGCCTGACCCAGCCATGTTTTTTAAATTTCAAATTACGCATAAAGTATGCGTTAAATTAATTAGGGAATTCATTAAGAAGAGAAGAGTAAAGAAACTAGTTAGCAGCGTGCAACATTCAGTAATGTAAGCCATTTTCTATAATTGTTATATATAATTTGTCTCATAACATTATCCTTTGATAAATTATTGCAGCATCATATGATATATGTAGCTTATTAACAGTTTCATTAATTACTATTAGAGCAAAGGCACTCTGAAATCTGGTGCACACGAGAGCAAGTGTTGAAGCAGATGGTTGAAATTAGTGAAACGCAATCGGTTGCTGAACCCTTTTACCTAATTACGTTATTACATCAAAATAGTTCAACTAAATTTGTCGGGTTGTCGGCCCGGCGCTGGGGTGTTCGGAGCCACCGCCATGGTGTGGGGGGATCACCCCGGACCCCCACCTCCCTGTGGGGTGCAGGGACCTTCTGGGTGCCCTCCACTGGCCCCAGAGCCCCTGTGCCAGCCCTGGACCTCCTGGTGGACCCCAGAGCTCACCTGCTTCCTGAGTTGGCCTCCTCATCCTCCTCCTGGCCCCAAAGAGCATCGTTTCCTGCCCCTTTCCAGGGCATCCTGGCTGTACTCGGGCACGTACGTGTCCCCGGGACCACGCAGGGACAGGTCTGGAGTGGGCAGCTCTCCTGGGGTTTGGGTTTGGGTGCGTGATTTGCAAATTCTGAGTTTCAGAAGGAAGAAGTCCAGCTTTCCACCATGGCTGCTCTGTGGCAGGAGGAGATCTGCCGGGTGGGACACGGAGACACTGCGGAGATGGGAAAGGGGCTTCAGCAATGCCCAGGGGTGCCCATGCCAAACGGGTCTGGAGCCTCTTCGTCCATAACACTCAAAGGTTCTTCTTCCTTTTCTTGACACAAGCCTGAGATTTCTTTATTTTGGGGACCAGGGGCCATGAAAGAAGGCTTGGAAAGTAAAAACAAACCCAAGGGATAAGCAAAGATGGAGCCCAGGTCTGCTGGGGCACTTGAAGGGCAAGCCTTGAGCTCAGCCAGGACAGGCACCCGCGTTACCCTGTGCCGGGAGCCAAGAAGCTTCCCTGGCTGCCCATCAGGCCGAAATTCATAGAAACGGTGATACGTACAGCTGGGAGAGCAAGGAGGAGTGAGGAGCCCTGAGTGTGGCACTAAAACACCCAATATACTCTGTTCCCGCAGGTCCCAGGCACCAAATACACTCACGCCCTGCACCTCTGCTGGTGCAAAGGCATCTACAGCTGCTGTTTGTTTAAGCTTCCTCAATTCTTCCCTTTTACACCTGAATAAACCCAAAGAAACACGAAGCACATGACTTTCCTGTGTCCTCGAAGCCCAGCTCTCTTGGGGTGACACCCCAGGGAGGGAACCCTTCCTCCTCCTTCCAGGACAGGGAGAGTTACCTTCTGCACAGCATTTTGAGACTTCAGCAGCTGTGAGCTCACATCATTTTCAGAAGTGTCCAAATTTGCAAGAAAATTGCAGGAAAAAAAAAATCACTTACAATC